CCCCCCCCCCCCCGTGCCCTCATCCCCCTTTTCTGCTATAGGGTGTTTTTAATCCTCCCCAGAGGCATCGAGTGTTGGCTATAGCCAAAACTGAGGACTTCACCTGGGGTGTGCTGATTCTCTTGCTGGGACCAGAGCTGGAAATTCCTGGCTAGAGGGTCTTGCCCCTCTGCTCAGGGTCAGACCAATCACCATATTTAGGGTCAGGAAGGAATTTTACCCCATGGTCAGATTGATATGGACCATGGGGTGTTTTGCTTTCCTCTGTAGCAGAGGGCATGCCCTCTACCCCGGACCTCTTGAGCATATGTTGACATCATTTTATAGAAGCAGGACATTGGCTGCCGTGGTTCCCCTGCTTTACCTGTGGCAGGCTAGGGTGTTAGGTCTGTATTGTGTCAGGGTTGAGGGTAGTCTGATGTAGAGTTTAGATTTTGGTTGTATGGGTTGATCCTGCTTCAGGCAGGGGGTTGGACTTGATGACCTCTGGAGGTTGCTTTCAGCCCTATATCTCTAAAGCTCCTTCTGTGTGTACAACAGCCTATTTCTTTTGTTGCTTTTTTGTGAGAAAAGGAGAAGTTGTTTCCTTGTAGAATTAAGTGCTTGACTCTGCAGTGATCTGGGACTGTGGAAATGAAGTTGTGCCTGAATAAATAAATTGCAGGAGTAGGCCTCAATTTAATAGAGATTGGATAACTCTGGGTATATCTGACCTGTGAAATTAGCAATGAAATGGAGGGAGTTTCTTCTAGCTCCAGGTGACTGATAGTTCATTATGCCTAAATGCTTTCCCAAACAAGGAATCTTGAATGGAGACCAGTGTTACATTGTCCTGCTGATCTCTCAGAGCATGAAGTGTGGGCCATCTCTTTCTCTCAGGGCGTGAACACACTGGTCAGAGACATAATGACTGGTGACATAAACCTTTAAACCAGGGTGACTTTGCCCAATCCGGAGCAGAGTTACTCCCTGAAAGAATCAGGTCAGATTCCACTGATGTCAGTTTCATTGGTTTAAGTTTCTTCCGCCTATGTCCAGCAAGAAGTCATTTGCTCATAGAGTATTTACCCACTCTCCTGCCACTTAGTGGCAAGATGCAATAATAATTGCCTACTGCATGCTGCTGTCTCAGGGTAGCTACGCAATTCATTCCAAGCCTGCTGTAATTTATATGGGCATACAAAACTGATGTAAATGACACTGTGCTATTGGGTAGCCTGTCCATGCCTGTATGTACACATACCCGTGCATACATGTGCGTGCACACATGCATGTGTGTGCTGGTGCACGTGGGCACGCGCACACATGCTCGGTCCCTCTACCAGATCTATCACATGACTTGGACTTATTTGATTTGATGAAAACATCCCTCGGGCACCAGCAGCTTGGCTAAGCCTCCATTTTGATTTGCTGACTGGTTATAATCCTGCTGGAACAGAGACCTTCCCTTTCTCTGCTCCTTGGCTCAGAGATTGAAGTCTGACCTTCCTCTTTATTAATCCTTGGGCTTTTTCCTCTTCTGTCTTTTCTCCCTGCAGACACACTGTCAGTGCCTCGCTGGTCCCCACAGATTCCCCGTCGTGACTTAGGAAACTCAATAAAACACAGGTATGGTATCTCTGAGGAGAAAACAGTAAGTCACTAGAATGCTAGATCCTTGTCATGGCAGGCAATACCCATTTGTTCTGTAATACAGTGCATCCTTTCATCCCAACCCCTCAGTTTCCATGTTGTCTGGGTTAGAGTCATGGCCCTGAAATGGGTATGGCCTTTCATCTGGAGCCAGCAACTTACTTTGATCTGGTTTTGGCCAAGTCCCCAGTACTCATTCCTGCCCAGGGCAGGGGGTCGGAATCAATGATCTAATAGGTCCTTTCCGACCCTAACATCTATGAAACTATGAAAAATATGCCTTTTGAGACTAATTGCTCTGCAGCCTGTGAGCTGAGATCCAGTATGCTGGATGCATTGTAGCCAGTTGTTAGTCTTATGTATGTAAGGTCTCCTGAGAGCCCACTGTGCTGGGCAGTGCCCCAAACTAAAACCCATTGCTGAGGAGCTTATGATTCAAGTTGAAAAGCTAACTCCTAGAGAGGCTGGCACTGCAGAGGGCTCTGGAAAAGCAAAAGCTAAGCTAGGTTTGTAGCTGCGAAGTAGATGATGGAAGGGGAAGGAAGATTTTCTTCAGGAAAAGTCCTTTCCCATAAAAATCCAGCTTTGAGACAAAACCATTTAGAATACCATAGCACAAGAGTTGGTGTAGGATAATGCGCTAAGCCTGAGTGACAGGGTTATTATGCTGGCAGGCAGCTTCTCAGAGGCAGCTACAGTGTCTGCACCTGTTGGTTTCAAAGTAGAGCAGAAGCATATTGTTAGTCACCGCTGTTGCTGTTGTTAGAGGTTTCCTGACAGTATTGCACTTCCCTACTTAAGTAAGTGGAGATCTCCATGCTGGGAGTGTGCAGTCAGAACCTGGATCTTTTTCCTTCCTTCTTTCCCAGCCTTACTGAGTTCTGTGTGGCTTCTGCGAAGCCATGGCATATTCATGTCACCCTGATATTGGCTGGTCAGAGTCCCCTGGTACGTATCGCTTCTGATGTCACTCCTCCCTGCACACTTCCCTGTTAGTGTCTCCTGAGTCCTGTACCTGGCTGGTTGTGGCCATGGAAATATCCTATGGTATGCTGCATGGCTGATGAAGGAATGTGAAAACTCTTCAGCCCCCCTCCCCTTCCTGGAGGTAATGCCTCAAGTTCCTGTATATCACCCCTGCTCAAGTGAAGCGAAAGGAGCCTCTCTTATTCATAGTGCCTGGGGATAAGGCCCCAGGCTCTTTGAGACACACTGGTAAGGAAAACCATCTGGTGATCAACATGGCCTAGTCCCAGGCTTTATAGTTAGGGGGTTGAGAAAAGGAGTCCATTCAGGATGCATCTTGTCCAGCCACGTCAATTAGTGTGTGTTAAGCTCCCATAGCCCAGTTCCCAGGGGTAGAGATGGGGTTACCTTGATCTCCCCCCCACCCTGCATCTTAAAACCAGAGGGAGAACTCTTCTTAGCTGTTTCCTTGGTTATTGAAATTGACTGAGTTAACATCGATGACCTGGGACAGCCAAGCAATAAGCCTTGTTATTTCTCTTTCTCCAGCATAGATCCAACAGGAGGAGGGGGGCCAGAGGCTTCTCCTTCTATTTCTAACACGTGGGCACAGTGTCCTCAAAGCATACTCAATTCCATTTTAATTCAGATGTGGTTTAGATAAGGCTGGAGCTGTTATCAATAAAAAAACTGTACATTATCTGTGACCCACTGACCTTGAGTAAATTCCATATGAGCCCTACTCTGCTCTTCCATATCTACCATGAGAAAAAGAAATCGAAATGACCTCCATGCCGCTTTCCAGTTGGCTGCTGTTCTGGTGACAGGCTGCACTTGAGATACGGGAAAGGAACTTTGTGTGCCTGTAGCCAGAGCCTGGCACTAGGAGCAATGGGCCTCTCTCTAAATCGGTGCTTTAATCTAGATGCAAGGAGGTTGCTTAAGTTGAATGGGAATTTTTTCATACTAGAAATTTCTCTTACTCTCTTTCTCTTTGCAATGAAAGGAACCCTTTTCCTGGCCTCAACGAAGGTTCTTATTGGGTATTATTCATGCTATTCGCAAAATAATTAAGAATTACAGGAGCACCCAGATTCTTTGCAGGGTTCAGTTCCTGACTACCCATGGAAAGATGAAGGTTTGTGAATTAACTGGGGGTACATCTAACCATGGCAAACAGCTGTGCCCTGAAGAGTGTCAGCTGTTTGCTGTGGCTTTTATTTCCAAGAACACTCATTCTGCCGCTAGCTGCCTGGGGCTGATGGTGAACCGCAGCTGAGTGGAGAAGCGATGCTCTTTGAAGTAAAAGCCCCAATAAACAGCTATATGGCTTATCTTTCACTTGGCAACCTACTGAAAATCAAGTGGGTTGTGAACCACCCAGGTGTGGAAAATCTGTGTGGTACTGTATTTGTATGTCTAGATGCCCCAACCAAAATCAGGGTCCCCTTATACTGTGCAAGCATCCAGTCAGTGGTCGTCCCTGTCCTTAAGAATTGACACTTAAAATAGATAGAACTGTGAAAGGATGGGACCACCTGAGACCTCGAGAGATGGACTAAGTACTCTGAGTTCACAGTGGGAGACCAACAGCTGAGTCTCTGGCTAGTGCCTTAGCTATGGTACCAATCCTTCCTCATTGCAACTGGAGCTTACTGAAGTCTGCACTCAGCAGTTGCTACAGATTAGGTCATTGGTGCCTAGTTGGTATTTGGGTTTTTTCTATGCTAAAATAGTTTCATTCAGGGTATCAATGATCAAACTACCCTTCTGTGGAACACAGGGTATTTTTCCATCCATCTTGCAGTCAAGCAGAAGAGGTTTCTGGTTAAGACCAAGTGAAGGTGAGACTACTCTTTTTAGCAGTCCCTAAAAGCTAATATTTCACTCTCAGCTTCTCCCACTCAGCTGGGAGGGAAAGTGTTCTCCTTTACTTGTCCCGGCAAGGTAGACAACGGGATGTTTACTCTGCAGCGCAGTAGCAGCCCCAGAATATAGCACACACAAAGCCCACAAATCTCTGCTCTTTTGGATACTTGGACTTCACTTAGGCAAGGGGTGTAGTTTCAGGCATGGACTAGCCAGCAAAGTTTCTTGGGGTAACCCTCAGTTGGTGTGAATTGAAGTCACTGGTGAAAGAGGGATCCCTTGTTTATCCTTACTTTACTTACTCTGAGCATAACCTGTCCTTTCTGGACCTACTGAAGGCAGATGCTACTAAATCATGATCCTCAGGTACAGAATCCTACAGCAGACAACTTCTTCATTCCAGAATATCAATAATTTGTTTCCATTAGTTTATATTTTTGGGTGGCTGATGCTGCTCTAAAGCCTTCTCTTTTTAATGTTGTTTTTATTTAGGTTGTATGGTCCCGAGTTGAAGGTTACATAGAACGGTAAAACATCAGCCCTTCTGAAACTCCATTAACCTCACTGGAGACACTCCAGGGATGAATTTGCTTCAGTCAGGATTCAGTGGAGTGATATGGGGCAAAATTAGGCAAAGTGGCTGTAACAGTAAACATGCAGAGTGACCTGTTGATAGGTCTGTGGCTAAGGGCAGGTTAATGTGGAAGCGGATCTAGTCTGTAATTGTTAAATTCTTTCTGTTTTCTCAGTTCCTTCTCTTTGCTCTTTCACTTCAGTCGGCTTCTTTCAAGTGCCACTTTTGCCATAGCTCAGCCGGGTGACAAGGCCCAGGCTCTAAGCTGGGTCTGCTGCAAGTTTTCCTTTCTTAACAAACATGCACATTCTTAGATAGTAAGATCTTTTTTGACAGGGGCAGTATCTCCCAGTGTATTTGAACAGCATCTGACCTACTCTGTTGTGCTTCTGTAGTACAAAGAAGTAATATTATGTTAAGGCTTACAGCAGTTTGCTTACTGTATTCTATCTGCTCAGTGCTATGGAACTTGCACACCTAAAACTCCCATTTAAGTCACCAAGGGGTTGGAACTAAAGGTACTTAACTAGTTTAGGATTAAAAAGGATAAACTTTGATTCAGTAAGCAATTTTGGTTCTCTTGATCTTGTGGGCAAGTTCAAATAGCTCTTCTGCGTGAGCAGGGCTAGAGAGATGAGTGGAGAGAGGCTTATAAATAGCAAAGTTTCCTGCACCTGGTGGAGGGCACAGCAACCTTGTTTGTACTTAACACTTATCTGATGTTTTTCCTCTGCAGATTTTCCACCAAGTATTGGATGTCTCAGACCTGTACCGTCTGTGGGAAAGGAATGTTATTTGGATTAAAATGTAAAAACTGCAAGTACGTCACAGTTTCTAAGTTGCTTTTTTGTTCCTTAATGTTACAAAGGGAATAATTAGGCTCCCATTTCCTGAGCCATAGCAGCACAGCTCTTGGGTGTGTGTGTTCTGAATGGGGCTCAGATATACAAGCCCTTGCCTCATTTGCAAGAACCTTAAAATATATATATTTTTTTTGTGATTTGGGACTAAGATACAGTGTGGGAAGCCAAGGCACTGGAGCCCTGAGTTCACTCAGTGTGTCCCAAGCTAGTCTTGCATTTGGATTTTGAACAGGCAAACATGAGGTGGGGAGAGGAGCTAGTTCAATTTCCACAGTCCCATTGATCCCCCAGCTGAGGCTGCTAACCATTTTTATAATATAAACACCTCTCCTGTAGACACACTGACCCAGGACAGCAAGGTCACTTCCTGCTGACCAGCAGGTGTCTGTCAGATGGTAAGAACCTTCACTTACAGTAGATCTTGCCCAGTAAAGAAGCCATTAATTTCTCCTTTTGCCCTTCCTTGCTTTGGTGTTTCCCTGACCATGATTATGAAAAGGCAAGGTTCAGAGAGGCAGGAGACATAACTCCCTCACTCCCCTTGCTCCAGACCACTCACACCCCAAGGATCCTGACTCAGAGTCAGGTTCCTGGCAACGCATCCTTTTTCTCTTGTTCTGGGCATAGAAGAAGCTCTGCCCTCCCAGATAAAGAGCTGATCTAGCCCTGCTACTGTACAAATCCTTTCTATCTGGGCTGGCAAGCATGGCACCTTCCTTTGGCTAGAGGGAGAGGGTTAACTTCTTTACTTCCAGTGTCTAGTTGTACTGTCTATCACAATCAGGCATACGTTTTGTACACAAAAAGTAGATTAAAAATTTTAATACTATTGATTGATTTGGGGGAGGATGCTAATTGGAAGAGAACCCTAATCCTTTTACTAGCAGAGAGATGGCACCAAAGGCATTCTGGAATGGCAAAGTGGTGGCTAAGATTTGATTTGGGTTACTTGAGCTTAGTGTCCCAGACCCCAGCAGTATGTTGTGCCCATAAACTAAGAATGGTAGAAGCTCTTGAGCAGCAATTGAGAACTATCTGTCTGATTATCAGTCCATTCCTGTTGTCTTTAATGGAAATGCAGCCTATGGCATAGCATGACTGAATTTGTCCCTCTGCATGGTGCCCAGCAATAAATCAACTTGTGGCAGTAATTGTATTTACAGTACAGCTCTGTGATTGAATGTGAAAGTACATTAATAATGGATAATAGTGGAGAATTTTATGACCAATAATAGCATGTGAAGCTATACACACTGAGAGAGAAGTAATCAAATCTCATGCATCAAGGAGTAAAGCTTAGTTCCTGGAAGAATAGAAGGGAGTTCTCTTCCCTTTCTCCTGCACATGCATTGCTCTGACAGACACAGCTGGTTAGATGCACTGTCTACCTCTGACATTTTGGGTGTTGGTCCTTCTTTGGGGGTGGGATCATCAGATCTGAGAAACTTATGATCTGATCCAGTATGGCAGATTCTGTGGTCCAAGCCCAGTTGGCTTCTCTGTCATGACCTTTCCCCCTTATTACAGGAAATCCAGGCTGCTCTTAAGAAAAGTCAGCAGAACGCTTTGATTGTATATTCATGGGAGTTTTACCTTTGGTCTCATAGGGCAGCATTCTCCAGCCCTAAATAAGTCTACTGCTGAAGTGGTTCCCACTTTCAATACCCAGAGACCCTACTTAGGATCAAGGCTGTTTAGTGCTTAGCAGGATCAGGCTTCTAGCATGTAGGCAGTTTTTGGTAGTGTGATCCTGCCACCTCTCCTGTGTCCCTGAAGTTACCTTCAGCAGGACAGTACCAGTGAATTCCCTCGCTCTCCTAATTCCCAGGCCCAGGGTGTTTCACATATTGTCCTGCGACACTTTCACACACAAGGCTTCAGAGAAGGCAGTGCTGCAGCTGAGCAAGCCAGGAAGCAAAGGAGCTGTGCCAGCAGCTAAGATGAATGGTGGCACCTTGAGCATGGTACAGCCTAGCACTTCAGATGTGTGTACTTCATGACAACGCTGCCTTGAGCTGCATTCTCTCTTTTATGCCATCAGCAAAAATCTTCCAAGCTTGTGTTCATCCAGGAAGCTCATTGTCTTCTAGAGGAGTCAAACAGATGAAAATTGCTATTAGGATGTGATTTATTGGAAGTGGGCCTTACTTTAGATGACACAAAGTTGATAGGATTTAAATAGAAAAGCAGGGCAGATTCTGACCTATTTATGCCATTTGAAATCCAAAGTAGCCTTCCTAATGTGGAGATTGGCAGTTAACAGACAGTGGTTATTAAACTGGTATTGGAGACATAATTCACATTTCTAAGACTCAGAAATGTGTTGGATCACTTTTTGGTAACTGAGCCAATGCACACTATATAATGCTGGCTGTGTTCCGTTAATTGAATAGCAATGAGCTAGCAAAATTAGGCTTAACTGCATATAATAAATGGTATTACTGCCTCTCAGAAGCTTGAATGCAAATTTTCCTCTTACAGCAACTTTAACAAGAACTTTTAAAAAATAAATCTTTGAATCCCTTGAGAATTAGATAGTTTCCTGTTGATATCATTCTGTTCAGCTTTGGAAATCTCTTGCCCTCTCCTATTGCATTTCATTGTATAAGAATGGGTGGGTTTGATTAATGTTGCCAACTGACCTGGCTCCTGCAGGTGGACAGAAATAGGTTTGTGTGCACTAGAAGCAAGGCAGTGCAGAAGTCCAGCATTGCTGGAACAGCAAAATGAGATTTGAGGTTCTTTGAGATGTACGGTGAAACTCATGTGCATGAAACCCATTGCAGAAGAAGCAGAGGGCCTGGTCTGAGGAGCACTGACAGACCTTCGAGTTAGCAGGCATGCTGCAGAAATCCCAGACAGGGCTGAAATTGGGAAGCTGGGAGAGTGAGGTCCCTGTACAGCGTCTGTGTCTGTGTTGTGTCAGTCCTGGCTTTTCATAAGAAAAGAAACAATCCAATTTATTGCAAATGCTAAAATAAAATCAAGGGAAATACTAACAAACTGCTTCAGCTCAGCAACTTCTGCCTTCCCTGGTCAGCTACCAGCACTGTTTTCATTGAAAAGAAAAAAAAAGTAAAAGGAAACGAAGCAGGTTAAACAAACAGCGTCCCGCCTCTGGAACCTCAAATATCAAATTAATCCTCAACTCTCCCTCTAGGAATCTTTTTTTATAATAAAAGCTAACATGCATGACTCCTGAATTTTCATTACCCAGCTCATTGACTTGGGTCTGATTTATTTATTATTATTATTGTTTTATCCCTCACCCCTGCTTTTTTTTTTTAATATTTCTTTTCCTTTTTGCTTGCCACAGTTGAGTGTCAAGTGCTGACACAAGCTTATTCTGATGGGGCTCTTGGTGCCAGACTGAGAGATTGGGATGCTTTTACATTCCTAATTAGGAAAAAATGAAAAGGTTTTAGGGGCATGAGAGCCTGCTTATGGCTAGATGTGTGAACCATGGGTGAAACCCTCAGAAGACTCCTGCCCCTGGCTATGTTAAATAATAAAAGCTGTGCAGAATGTTAAATGAAACAGCCATTGCTTTAAATGGCCTAATTATTTTTGTTAAGTGTCCTAATAATAAAACCATAAGGAACATTGCTATGGCAGAGACATTTGAAGACAAAGAGAGGGAGAGAAATCTGGGTTTTAGCTGGTGATGTCCCCTTTGCTGCCATAGGATTTGATTAAGTGCAAACCCTTATTAGCATGGGATACTATTCAGGTGGAAATGGTAAGGTCTCTTCATAGAGTGCAGCTCTCTGCTCCCCTTGGCTCAGCTGGGGTTGGCAGAAATGACCATTTCAACATCTCTGAGCTTGGAATGAAGCCCCTGCCCACTAAAGGAAGAGCACTGAAGCACATCCTTTTCCATTTTTCACGGAAGGACGCTTGGCCTGGCTGTTATGCACGCTGTGGTCTACCACCATCTGACTGGGAGGTGGTTAGCAACGGTAGTCTGAAATCAGGCAGAAGGCAGGTCAGGGTGACACCTTACAGACTGACTGGTTTAGAGAGGCATGAGCTTTCATAGGCTCATTAGATGGGCAATACACCTTTTACCACCCATACTTCCTGGGATCCCTGTCTCCGACTTGTAGCAGACACCTCTTTCTACATCTACATTAATGTTCCTTTGTGCTAAGCCTGGCTATGTGTGACAGTCTCTCTCCTCCACTGCACACAGACTGTTCACAACTGTTTCCACTTTACAACTGTTTCTACTTCTTCTCTTAGGCTAAAGTGCCACAACAAATGCACCAAAGAGGCCCCTCCCTGCCACCTACTGATCATCCATCGTGGAGGTAAGAATTCCTTTTACATCTTCGGCTTTCTGGATATTTTCGTCAGGTAAAATTTTTCAGGAGCACCTAAGTGACATAGGAGCCTAATTCCCCATTGAGAGACAATGGGGTGCAGGCTCCTAAATCACTTGGGCACCTTGGAAAGTGTTACCGACCATCTTTTCCGCTTATAGGGAGACGAGCTGTCCGATGCGAGGCAGATTTGCATTCCAAACCACTTCCACCCACCCTTCCCCTGCCACCCTTTCTTTTCAGATTCCCCACAACACGGGGTAAGTGCAACAGGTTTTAACCTTTTGCTAACATTGAAAGCTGGCCTGGGTGGAAGTTTGGGACCATAGATCTGCAGTGGCTCTGTTGATGCATGCGGGTCTCATTTCACTACACGGAGCAGCAGTGTTCATGTCAGGCAGTGGCACATTCAGATGCTAATTGCGCTATTGAAATCCTCTGCTTTCCTCTCCTCCAGGAGAGCAGTTCATAAATATGAAAAGGAAGTGGGCACATTTACAAATCCAGAAGGGAAGAAGGGAAACAGTGCACCAAGAAGAGTTCCTTCCCCCCCCCCCCCTTTTTGTTCACATTTTGGCTAAGCGTTCCCAGTGCAAAAGGGAGGAGGGTTGGAGATTACCTCAGGGAAGATCTTTAAATTAAGATTCCAAATATGCATTTAATTTTAGATCTAATCAGGCTTTCTTCGTATATTAAATATCATCTGATTTTCAAAAATATAGTCAAAAGAATATATTTCTTTTTTGTGAGCTTTTTTTTTTAATAAGTTGGTTTATTGCACCTAATGAGGCCAGTCCTGCTCTAGAAAAATGGAAATGGAACTTAGTCTAGTTCAGAGTTGGCTAACTGCTTTTCAGCTGTGGGCTGCCCTGTTGTGGTCCTGCTGGTAGGGAAGAGCCAGGACTTAATGAGTATGTAGGGATAGTTTTTTGTAGTTGTGACACGCATAGACCAAGGGGTTCTCTCTTGGATGCACTAGCTCCAAGAATGACTACCAGCCTGCCCTGATGGGAGTCGTTACACAAGGGGCATTTGTTGGAGTTGCTACACAAGGGGCTTCGAGACCTGCTGTAATTAGAGCGCCCTCAGCATCCCATGTATCAGCATCCCCGTATGCCATTTTGCAGTGCGGTGACACCGATACATGAGATGTGTAGGCTGGTTGGAGTGTGCTAATTAGCACATTCCAGCAGACTCAATTAATCGAGTCTGCTCCGATGCACTGTAATTACCCAAGGTACCCAAGAGTCCTGAAACCTGGTCTAGTAGCAAGCAGCTAAGGGAGGAAACCACTGATCATGCTTCATGGCTCTGCCTCTCTGTAAACTCAGTGGTTCCTGAGTTGCTGGCTTTGCTCACCATTTCTGATGCCAGCCTTTTGGAAGGTTATTTTCTTTTTTATTCTAGGTCAGTCTCCCACCTGCATCTCTGTCAACTGCCGACAGTTAGAGAGAAAACTAGGTGACTCCTCACCTCAGCTACTGCCATGAAAAGCCCAGTCAGTGTCAATGTCAACCACTGTCCTGGGAGTCCTTTCCTGCAGAAGTGCTCTGAGTGTCCTGCTTCATAAATGAGCATCACCCACCCCTATCCCTTTGGGAAACTACAGATCAGAGACAAAGAACATGTCCTTCTCCATGTGGGAGAAGTGAAAGCATTCTGAAAATATGGAAGTAGTAGTGCTTAATGTTAAACAGGTGGGAGGGAGAGAGGAAAAAAGTTTACAGGTGTTGGTTAAGATTTGCAAAGGGGAGGCTCTGAGCTGCCCTAGGAGGAGGTGAGGCCCCTATGCATGGCCAGAGCAAAGTCCCAGTTGCCTGCTGAATTGTAGCCTGGAGGCTGGTTCTTCGGAACAGGGTGGTGTCAGAGCAAAAGTTAACACCTAGATGAAGTTCAAGATGCAGAAAGCTGGCGAGGGTCTCTTCTACTTGTCTCCTTTGACTATTCCTGCATCATAGTACTAGCTAAGCAGCATTAGAGGATGCAATGACATGAAACTATGTATCTCTCCATCCCCTCTCTCCTAGGCTGGTGTTCAGAGTAAAAAAGCCAAGCTGCCAGAGGATAGGCATTAAACTCCACAGCCTGAGGTTCAGTGCTGTCTGCTCCAAGGGATGGAGCCTGAACCCCAAACATTTCCCCCTAGTCTCCCAAGCTGGAACTTGGTCTAACAGTTCCTTACTGGAGTTCAGAGAGCACCCCTCAATCCTGCTACAAGTGGGTTCAGGACACTATTCCCTTACTGGTACAAATTAGGAGTCATTTAACTGGAATTGGTGTAAAACTGGTGCAAGGCAGAGAACAGCCTACAGACTGCAAACAGGCTCTAGTAGCCAGGTTGTGTAATTGCTGCTGGTGTGAATTCACAAGTATTTACTTTGACTTATAAGAATGCACAATGAGTAGTCCACCTTCTGCACTGTTGACACTAGCCATTGATCAAAATAAAGCCTACTTGTTCCTCTTCTAATGGTGCTTTAAGTGCCTCTTGATCCCTTAGGCATTAAGCCAGAGTGTGCCTGGATTGGCTTTTGAAGGCTTACACTGCAGAACATTGTGGGTGAGGCCAGGGAAGCTGGCAGTTTGGGGAACAACTGTTCAGCTCTTAAGTGAAGAGATTACGAGGGGGATTTCGAAATTTAGCTTAGTTATTACAAATTCTGGAAGCAGATCAGAAGTCTTCAAGTGCAGGGCTCCTCCAGAGTGACCTGCATGCAAAGCTGAAGTTTTGTTTTAAAACTTTGATTTCTTTCTCTCTCTTTTTAAACCCCCCCCTCTCCCATCTCCCTTCTTGATCCAGCAAGATTAGTCCGAACAGAGTCTGTACCGTGTGATATCAACAATCCTTTAAGGAAGCCACCCAGGTATTCTGATCTACACGTGAGCCAGACGCTACCCAAAACCAACAAAATTAACAAGGTGAGATGTGCTGCTTTCCTTTCACCTAGGCTGTTCATTTTGTCTTCCATCTATTGGGAACAGATGCAAATACACTCTCAAGTCACAAGCAAGATGTAAATTGCTTCAGACTTCCCAGTGCACACACATGAACAGATTCCTTCTCCCCACCATCTTCTCCATAAGAAACTGCCAGGCTTCACAGTGTGTAGTGTGCCAATCTGTTTATGGTATCATTGTCATGGTTACAGCAGCCAGTTGTGAAGTTGCATTTGGGGGAATAAGAAACAGGCACACACAAGCTGTTGAGAGAGAGTGGTTCTGTTTTTGTGCCAGTGACCTTAATTCTAAAGCATTAAAGATGAGAGACACTGAATGATGACTAAGAAATTTTGTCTCCAAGCAAGCTGTTTTCCAGCATTTTCCAAAGGGTGCAAGCAGCTGTTTAAACATAGAAGTAAACTGGACATTTACAGATCCCTTGTGTGCAATGCAAGTGTGTCAGAGCTTGTGAAAGGAAACAAAAATGGTTTGGCTCCCCACATTCCTTAAACGGTTACTCTGTATGCTGGAGATTCTGTTGCAGAGCTGAATATGGTCCATTGGATCACTGATGAATCTTTCTCCCCTCCCCCTGAAATCAATTGGACAACAGGGGAATAAGGGAAGCAGATTTGGCTCCATATTTTGGAACTTCACTCGTTACTTCTGTACCAACCATTACCTGCTTGGCTCGTTAGAGACGGAATGATGGACTTGTGGTAAAATCCCAGCGCTGGGAGTTGTGACCCGAGTTTCTATTCCTATTTCTATCACTGAATTTTTGTGATACCACAGGCAGATCAATTAACCTTTCTGTCTGCCTCAGTTTCCCCATCTATAAAATGGAAATAACACAGGAAGGCTGTGACACTTAATCTATTGGGCTGAAAGGCTCTAGAGAAAAGCCAGCTGTTGTAGTTAGTTTTCCTCCTTTTTAATTCTGTAGCAAGATGGAGCTAGATGCTTTTCACAGGGAGAAAGGAAAGTGAAGAGGGCTGTGGAACTTAGAGATCTGTGCAGCAATTCCTTCCTTGCTCACGTAGGGCTCAGGCCTCCTTCCACAGACATTCATGGCAGTGTTCACAAGTGGTCAGTGAAAATCCGTCTCCATTAACAGGTGCTCACCTGTTTCATTTCAGGAAAATATGTGCATTGCTGACTGCGGGCTTGTCTGCATGTGGAGTCACTCTGTTTTAACATGGCTGTTTCATTCTTATTCTGGAATAAGCATGTCCTGTTGCTGTGTAGCTTCTACCACATTGAAAGGTTTTTCCTGGTCGTTAGCTGCCATTTTCTTTCTTTTTTTATCTCCACATACTGAGTTGATAACTGCAGACTGCATTGTCTTTGCTTCCACTTCAAGTTAGTGAATATGTGTTCAAAACACATTTCCTTAGCCGTGTGAGAAATTCTCTGACCCTTCAAGGCTGCCAGATTTCTCCACTATTCTGTTTCCTTTTCACCTTCTGGCCTCCCCTCCAAGGCTTATGAATCTGCCTGTTATCTTAGTACCTGTTGTGGGCAATTCTGTCAGTGCAGCAGTTGGCACTGCAGGCACAGTGTGAGGCTGAGCTGTGTTGTCCTGCTTGGAGGTGAGTAGTTTCTGCTTCCTTTTTGCCAGTAGTTCCCAAACTAGGGCTTGCAGTCCCAGGTGGTGTTGTGGCATTTAGGAGTGGCGTTGTGAGCCTCACAGAGCCCCAAATACTCTGTGTCTGTGATTAACAGCGGTGGGGATTTACCTGGCCTTACATGCTCTGCAGTAACTGTACCTCATAGTAAGTGAAACCTCAACTAGATAAGAGTCCTGTCTCATTCAGGAGTGAGCTACCCCAGGTTAGGTCTCTCCCTGGGGTAATTATGGGCACAAGGAGAGTTATCATGCAGGAGTGATGTAAATCCCTGCCTCCACTTAAGGCCAGGTGGATGACTGGTGGGAACTGTATACGGAGCTGTATAAAGTTATTTCCTCCTGTAAGTGGGTTTTCAACCAGAAGTTTGGGAATTGCTTCCCTCAGCCTTGTTTACTGAAAAGCAATGCCTGCCTTCTGATGGGCAAGGTGAAGCACAGCAGGTCCTGAGAAACATAGTGTGAACTGAATATTGATAGCTTGCATGATGCATATAGTTGTGATATACAGAGAGGACAGCCTGCAAAGATCTCCACAATGCACAAAGGCTGACTCGTGCTCCACGTAGTAATAATACCTGTGGGTCACCGATTTGTCTGAAGTGCCTCACAGGTACTAATGAGTTACAACACTTATGAGCTAGATAAATATTATTGCTTCTCTTGTACAGAAGGGAATGCCAATGGCAAGGCGGAAAAAAGGGTAATTTTTTAAACGCTGATTAATTTAGGGTGCCCAGAATGTGACTCTTTGAGCCTGGCTTTCAGAGGTGCTGAGGTCCTGCAACTTCCATTGAGTTCAGCTGGAGATTTGAACATATTGCATTTCTGAAAGAGGTCTGCAGCTGAGTGCTGGACAATAGGGATCTGTCTGCAAATATAAGGTTACGAGGCTTGCCCAAAATAAGTCCATCACCAAGGTGGAGATCAGAAATCCTGACTCCACAAAGCCTGCTCTACGAGTCCGAGCATGTGCATCATTAAACAATGCATTAGAACATGTCTTTGCGGTGGGGAACACCGGTATATAACCCTGATCTATTGCCCTTATTGGAGCTGTCTCACCCTCACCTTGCTTATGAGATCACCTCCTGTTGAAAAAGGAAATGAGGAAGGTGTGTCCTCCCCACGGAAGCACATTAAATTCAGAGTCCAGCCAATTTCGATTGGTTATTCAGCTCCTTCCATCTGAAGATCTCCAGCAGTAACTAAAGTTTCACAGCACCTCTCTGAAAGTGGTAGGTTAAGTACTATTATCCTCAATAGCTGAGAAAGTAGGGCATGGAGGTATAGTGGCTTGACCAGGGACACAGAGAGAGTCAGAATTGGACTTACCACCCAAATATTGTGACCTTTAGTCCTGGCTGTAACTAATAGGCTCTTCCACTTCTCTAGCTGCATAATCTCATTATGCATGGCTACATGAGGCAGATTTAAAGGTGAGGCTCCACATTCTGCCTGTTTGACCTGGAGATTAGCCTTTCTGAGACCAAGACCCCAATCCTGCTCTCATCCAAGCCAATAGGAAAACTTTCATATGAGAGTCCCTGTTTTGATATCTTGGGGGGGGTGAGGGAGAAGGAAATCTCATGAGTCATGGGCCACTGGTGCCTCTCGAGTCTGGCGGGGCACCAGTGGGGCATGACCGGGGGGGATCCCCTAGCGGCTGGTTGCCAAGCACACTGGCAGAGCCAAATTCAGGGGGGGCACAAGCACTCTCCGTGCTCCTCTACCAGCCGGAGTGCTCGCTGTCAGGGAGGGCACCAGCGCTCCTGGGGGGTGGGGGGGACATGCCCCCTCATGCCTCCCTATGCATCACCTATGTCATAAGTGGAGACTTAGGGAGCCTTCACCTTCTGGTTTGCGCTGGTTGGTGGCACTGCCTGCAGATGCCAGAAAGGATCACGTTTCTCTGTCTGTCATGGAAACATGGATATTTTGGAGGGGAGGGAGACTAGCAGATTTTTCTCTCTGAAATAGTACCTCCCAGTTTGCTCAATGGTCTGTTCAGCCATCTGCTGGGGCAAAACTTCGCAGATGGCTTTTTGGGTTTCCAGGCACGTCTGTTTATCCAAATCACTAAGGGACTGATATGCATTTCAGTGTATCTGGTAGAAGCCAAATAGAAGTCTGTTTAGGGGGATGTAAACCAGTGAATCAAAGAGCTGCACTAATTGATGAAGCAGCCCTGGACCCTCTACAGCAAGCAAGGATGCTAACTGTATTGAGGTCAGTGGCTGTACTGCAAACACATCATACAGAGGGCTCTTTTGTTAAAATGTTTGTCCCCTAGTGCTGCCTTGTTTTGTTCTTTATTTCTTGTGGTAGGATTCAGACTTTTCTTACAGTCCCTGGGCTAAATTCTGTTCTCAGTTGAATGGTGTAAAACTGAAGTAGACTCATTGTCTTTTAAGTGTTACTCCAGATTTATACTGGTATAAATGACAGCAGCACTTGGCTCCCTATCTCTCTACCCTCCATATCAGAGTTACTGCATGTAAAACACTGGTAAAGCTAGAGCCAAGATTAGGTTGGAACATAGAGTATCTAATGCTCCACATGTCAAGTTTTTCAATGTGTTTGCCATCAGGGAAAAAGCAACATTTGCAAAGGTTATTTTCTTTAACAGCTTAAGAATAAAATAGGATCAATGTTTTCAAAATAGCTTGTGTCCCACCAGTCATACTCCATTTCAGCTTGTAACTCTCCAGAGGCATTAAATATAACCTGAATTCTGGCTGGTTCATGCTCTCCATTCTGTTTGAGACTTCCAAAACATGTATTAAAAATAAAACATACAGAAGCACAAGAATTTGGTCATGTTCTTGACAAAGCTGATAAAACCAGACCTAGCAGTGCACCTGGCTCATTCTTTCTGCTGCTCTGTATTAGCAGTGGTAGAAAATGCACAGATTTATTTTAGATTAAATTTGATGTAGCCTGTTGCTTGCATCAGGGATTCTTTACACTATTTGTATGCAGTCCTCTGTTTCCCTAATCTTGTTGCATGAGATGAGAAAGATCAAGCCCTAACAGTGACAGAGTAGTGTAGCAGAGCTGGGGGCCAGATGTGGCAGGGTCTCCCCCTGGTGACCTCTCAGTTCTCTACCTCTGGGTCTTGGTTCTCTCCCTTTTTACTGACCTGCCATACCTACTTTAAGAGAAAAAGGAGTTGGGGGAGCTGCCCACATCCCAGGGTCTCGCTGGTCTGGCCTACTCATCCACACAACTTTTCTGTACACATCATCTCCTATTGGCTATCTGTGGCCTCCAACTTCCCCTCTAGCCATGCCCATGTCTCGCAGGTGTTAACAAATGATCAGTTCAGCAGGCCTTCAACCCCCTGGGACCTTCTCCACCCTGCCAGGTATATAAGCTGCTGATTAGTCTCTGCCTTTCCCAATGCAAAGTTCAGCTATGGGTCTTTGGTCCTTGCCTCCAGCCTCCTTGGGTTGTGGGCCTTTGGCCCTAATCTCCACCCCTCTTGGGACCACAGGTTCCTGGCCCTGGCTCCACCTTATTCTGGTGCTGGTCCTCTGGCTCAGTCTCTTCACCAGATCTCCTCACACTGGGCAGCCAGCACTGGCTCTTCCCCTCTCGTGGTATACTGTTGCTTGGGCCCCAGCCTTGACAGGCTCAAGCGTGGCCGTGCCCCTGAGCACTATTGGGACCTCCTCCTCCCCTGATCAGTCCCAAACCTGGTCCACTACTGCAACTCATAACAGAAAAGGTCAGTCCTATAATCAAAATCAGGCTGCATAAGAAAGTTCAGCTCACAGGCAACTCATAGTTCTTTAGTACTTTGCCTGTTGTGAGGTCTTAGATGGTCTCTCAGCCCGGTGTAGTACTGAGCCCCCTCCTTGGCAGCGGAGCAGTTAGGATTCATGAGAGTCTCCCAGTCACAGTCATCACAAGGAAGCTCCTTTCCTGGCAGCCTGCATAGACAGACTGCCTCCTGGTCTCAAGCCTGAGCTTATATAGGGCCTAGGTCCAACCTCTCCTTCTCTAGTGAACTCTCAGCCACCACAGGTGTCTTTCTTTAGGCTAACCAGCTGGCCTTCAGAGGCACTCCAAGCTGTGGGTTACATGAGCTAACTGCCCTGCTTTGTAGTACCTTGCAGTAGGCAGACCATAGTCCTTCACTCGTCTCTTCCCTAATGGACTGTTGCTGTGCTACTACTTCAGCAATAAGTACCTCTCCAGCCTAGGATCCAGGCAGCCTGTCCTTCTGCTACTCTTCAGTGAGCAGTCTAGTCCACCTGAACTCTTTCCCACTGCCAACTCCTTCTCCCTAGTAACAGGGAGTCCCTGGCTTCTTGTTACAGTAGGTTTAAAAACAGTCCTTTGGGATTGTGTTATAAGGGTCAAGATGCTCATAACGCTTGTATCATATTACAGGCACTTAAAACATGGGAGCCTGCACCTTAAAGCTTGTTAAGTGCCCCCTGAGTATCTCAAGGTTACACCACTTCAGGTGAGGGTTAGCTCTGGGCCATGCTACCTAGCTCATATTAGGGCAACTGCAGTCTGCTCCACAGAGATGAAAAGAGCAATTTGCAGTCTTGTAGCAGTCCCTCTGCATCCAGAGCAAGGATAGGGTCCAGATGTCCTACTCCTAGCCATGCCCCTGCTTGCCAGCCCTGTAGTGGTAAGTCAGAGCTGTAAAGGCAAGAAACCCTTAATGTATGTTTGCTCACAACGCGTTCTAACTTTAACACTGCTTAACACTCCATAGGTTAATATGGTCTAAATGAAACATGTAACTTCACCCTCTAGATGGGAATTCCAAACAAAAGGAAAATCCAAGTAGAACTTAATGGAAAAGTTCCAGATAAGAGGAAAGGAGATTTTAGAAGCCATTTCAATTCATCCTGAGTAGCCAGTTCACTGGTGTGCTGTTGCCTGACTGCATGTGTACCTAGCAGGTTAGTGGCATGATCTTTCAGCGATCTTGTACACTTTTGCAAAAAGGGCCAGAGACTCTTCAGGCCCTCTTGATCTCTTCTTCTGTTTGTCAGAGCCCATCCTGACTATGTGAATGCTGGCTACTTTGGGACTCTTTTAGGGATGCAATTTTTAAACCCAAGGCTTTTAGGAAATTCCTCGTGATATAATTACCCAGATTTTAAGATAGCTTGCTTCAAATGCCATATGTAATCCCTTAAGAGACTGCAAGATTATTGCAGGAATGTACAGGAAAGAAAGAGCTCTATCTTTGCAAGAGTGCTGTCAGTGACTTGTGTCATTTTGGGCCTCATCCTCATTTACCTTAAGAGAACATCCTGGGGGACAGTGACATAAAGGATAGACCTTAGACTGGGACACAGCAGACTGGAGTTCTTTTCCTGGCTCTGCTTCTCAGTAATTGGTGGCCTTTGTCAAATCATTTTACTTTTCCTTAGCCTCAGTTTCCCCTTCTGTAAAATGCAAACATGATATTCATCATATAAATGTTTCGGATGAAAAGTGACTTTGGAGGGATGGATGAAAATGATTTTACTTTGCCTTTGCTTCTCAAAGTCATAGTAGCCATAATCAGCTTGTAAAATGAAATGAGATATTTCCCAGTGGGACTGTTAATGGCTATTATTTGAGAGAGAAAAAAAAATCTCCAGATCTCCTCTTCCACTGCCTTCCAACCCAGCCACTCCCCCACCAGTTAATAATGGTATCACTGTGAATATGATTATAGGTTCCTTGAGTCAGGCACCTCATTTTTCCATTTAGAGCCGCAAAGCCGTCTGTGCAACAATGAAACTATTAAAGACATGTCCGAGTCTGAGCTTTTCATGGGTGGTAATGATGTTATGGAAAAAATCTGTCTGCGGAATGTTGACTTACAGGGCAAGGTGGTATACGCAGGATATGCCATGACTTTCCCTGTGGTGCCAACTCGCTTGGATCCTACTTGATTGCCTGCTTGTGAATCTGAGCAAAATTTTCAGAGGCGACTAATGATTTGGGGGTACTTTTCAAAAATCAGGCCTGTAATGTGTGAGATAAAAGCTTGGGGTGTCAGGGTGCTCCCAGAGATTCACCTCAGATTTCTGGAAGCTTATTGGACCCCCACTCTGCTGAATGGGTATGCCCAGGTTATTAATTTGCCCAGAAATCACTATTTACCACAGGCCTACTAATAAAATAATAGAGAAACAAAAGGATTTGTTATAAGGAAGAACAAATGGTTAGAAAAGAAAAGATGATCAAATGGTTTGGCAACAGAGTATGGCAAGACAAAACTGATAAAATCCTTGCTGTGTGTTCAGACTACCACCTAGCCCTCATAAAAATTCCTGTGCAAATCTTCTGGGGTCCATGTCCCCTCAGTCACAGCTAGCTCCCTCAACCAGGGGCCTCCGTTCCCACTCCCCTTCATAGGAAGCCCCCTCTCACCACCCCCGAATGGTCACTGGCTCCAGAACGTTTCATGCAGCCTCCCACTCACCTTCCTCCAGGGGAGCTGGAGAATCCTCTCGACTGTTTCTGCCTATGGATCTGTGACAATATGCGAGGAGCAAAATTGCTTGCAAATTTGAAAATGTTGGTTTCTGGTTTTCCTGTGCAAATCATAGGGTATGTGGATGGAATGAGCTTTAGAGTCTTTTCAGGGCAGATCATGCAATGCCCATGCTAGTATAGATGCGACCATTAGTAGTTTCTCGTGTTTGCCATTATTAATCCATGTTTGCATGCAGTGGTGGAGAGACAGAGAATGAATTCCTCATTTCCAGTCATGCTGCGTTTCAAACCCATTCTGCTGGCTGTGAGTTTAGCTGCAAGTTCTTTAATCCTTTACACCTGGCACTAGGTACATGTAGTTTGGAGTTGAATATAAAATATGTTGATATAAAAATTCTACACAGATACTTCGCATACCCTTGATACTAGCCTCTCCCTGCGTGCATTGTGGTCAACCATTCCTTACTGGTCAAACAGCCTCTAAGAAAGCAACCACTGTTCTGCACAAGGCAGTCTATACTTAGGAAGGTAAGAGAAGGAGGCAGGGTAATTTATACCTGTGATTCAGGGGAGAGCTTTAACCACTAAGCTTTGGGATTTAAAGTGGAGCAAAACTCTTAAAAGGTGACAGCTGGTGATGCTAAGTTGTGCTCTGGGGACTCTCTTGTTCTGCAGTCAAATACTCTACTGTGGAGCTCCACCTCTTCCGGTGCTGAGAGGGGAGGCCTGGCTAGCATGCAGTCTATCCCATGGAGCCCCATGAAGAACGTTCAGTGTTTTAATGTAACACTGTGTTTTGGCTTCCCTTGTCCTTATTAAATGGCCCATGAAGAAGTATAAATGGAGGGGCAGAGAGTGGAAAGCACTCTTGGGACTCTTTCTAGGAGGTCAAGACAAGATTGAAGATGTTGGGTAGTGCTTACAAGCTTAATCCCCACAGTTGGGCACTTGCAGCCTCTACCAGGTGCCTAAGTACCTGTCCATAGCAGGGTGGCTTAGCTGCATCACTGCTTGCTTTTGAAAATGTGAGCCCACAGGGCTTGAGTCTCTCCAGCTTCACTAGCAGAAGCCAGGAGTTGGAGGGCTCAGAAACCTGAAACGCTGCCCTGTACAGGATGCTACACATGGAGGAACAGATGACCTTTTTATCTTGTTTGGTGTCCCCAGATGCATTGCAAAGAGGAATCTGGAGCAGCTGGGATGATCACTATGCTCCTGCCTAACTCTGTAACCCAGCATCACCTGGGCTTTGGCAGGTGGGTGGGAGAGGCTGTATAAGACAGAAGAGGCATCCATGTTAACTCAGCTTGTGTGCAAGGGTCACTTGCTTTGCTGGAGGCAGTGAGCACTGTATCCTTGGGTGGAGCAGAGTGAAGTCAGCCGACCAACACTGTTCTCATTGTCTTGTGTTTTCTTTCCTTCCTCCTCTTCCCTTGCCCACCTTGTGCCTGCAGGACCACATTCCAGTGCCCTACCAGCCAGACTCCAGCAGCAATCCCTCCTCAACGACCTCCTCCACGCCCTCCTCGCCAGCCCCACCGTTACCGCCTAGTGCAACTCCACCGTCTCCCCTCCACCCCTCTCCACAATGTACGCGGCAGCAGAAGCAATTCAACTTGCCAGGTACCTTGCTTGTGTTCCTGGGTGAGGTGCTGGGGGAGCTTTTCATCAACATCTCTGTATCTAGGGTAGGTATCCATTAATCGCACAAAGCTGGCCAAGTTCCATGTCTGTGGGGGAATCCCTCCACGAAGGGCTGGGTCAGGTCCTCTGACTCTTGCTATACAGGAGGGTAGATCAGATGATCAGAATGGCTCCTTCTGGACTAAATATCAGCTAGTCCAATCTGTCCACCACCTTGCCCCACTTCAGTTCTCCCTCCAGTGTTCCTCTGAGATGCACAAATACCTGCAGTACAGCAGAAGGTTCGTGAAGTTTTGTTCCAGGGGAAGGCACCTGCCTAGAGGGCAATGCTCTTAGTTTAACTGCAAGATGTACGGGGCACGTTCAGAAAAATCTAGGTTTCCTCCAGCAACCTCCCCTGCTTGGCTCAAGGTATCTTAGCTGTACTCTAGCATGGTAGATCCCTCCATGGATATAATGGTTCCTTTTCCCTGTGCACCCCTCCCCCCCACCTATGTTTTCAGTGAAATGGCTAGCAGTATCGATATCTGCTTTTTTGCTGTTTAATACCAGAGTTAGCTTCTTTTTGAATGGATAGAGGCCATTTCCCCTCATATCTGAATTATTGTTTTGGGCTGCATGGATTATGTTTGTGCTTATGCTTCTTTGGTTTGAAGCCAAAGACCTGCCGAGGAGTCAGTTAGGCCTTTGGATGATCAGGGTGTAAAAGGGTCATGAAAGGATGACAGGGCCATTGCCAAGAAACTAAATGCATTCTTTTGATCTGTCTTCACTGTGGAAAATGTTAGGAAAATTCCATCACCAGATCCCCTCCTCTCTAGGGAAAAGTCAGTGGAACTGACCCAAATTAAAGCTTCAGTATAGATGAGGTTGTAGAAGAAATTGATAAACTAAACAGTAGCAAATCACCAAGACCTGATGGCATTCACCCTAGGGTCCTGAAGGAGCTTAGATTGGAAATTGCTGAACTCCTAACTGTAATATGCAACCTATCACTCAAAACAGCACCAGAGGCCTGGAAGGTTGCCAGTGTGACTCCCATATTTTAAAAGGGCTCTAAAGGGGATACAAGGAACTACAGGGCAGTGAGCCTAACTTTTGTTCCTGGAAAACTGGTAGAAACAATAATAAAAAAAGAATTGTTCGGCACATGGATGAATGAGACTTACTGGGGAGGAATCAACATGGCTTTGTCAAAGGGAAATCATGCCCCACCAACTTACTCGAGTTCTTTGAGAGTGTCAGTAAGCAGGTAGATCAGGGTGATCCAGTTGACGTAGTATATTTGGGCTTCCAAAAAGCCTTTAACAAGGTCCCCCATCAGAGTCTCTTAACTAAGTTAGTAGTCATAGGATTAAAGGGAACGTCCACTTGCAAAGAGTGAGTATAAATGGTCAGTTTTTAGGATGGAAAGAAGTAAACAGCAGGGTTCCCAGGGATCTGTGTTGGGACCAGTGCTATTTAACATATTCATAAATGATCTGGGAAAGGGGGTGAGTAGCAAGGTGGCCAAATCTGTCGATTACACAAATTATTCAAAGTTTTAAACACCAGTGCGGACTGTAAAGAACCACAGAAAGATTTGGCATGAATTTATAAAGGGGCATAATGATACTTTCAGTTTTGCTTACAATCCCCTTCTTAATAATCCCTAACATTTTGTTTGCCTTTTTGACAGCTGCTAAGCACAGAGCTGATGTTCTTAGCGAGCTGTCCACAATGACATACCTTAAATACTGTACTCAGTTGTGGTCCCCACACCTCAAAAAGAATTTAGAAGTAGAGAAGATACAGAGAAGGGCAACAACGATGAAAAATAGTATGAAGGGGCTTCTGTATGAGGAAAGACTAAAGAGGCTAGGCCAGTTCAGTTAAGAAAAGAGACACTTGAGGGGCACATATACGGGTTTACAAACTACTAAATGGAAAAGAGAAAGTAAATAGGGATTTATTATTTGCTCTCACAATGCAAGAACTAAGGGTCACAAAATGACACTAGTAGGTAGTAAGTTTAAAACTCACAAAAATACTTTTTCACACAACATGTAATTAAAAGAACTCATTGCCACCAGAAATTGTAGAAGCTGACAACTTAGAGATTCAGAAAGGAACTGGACAACTTCTTGAAGGAAAAGTGAATCAGTAGCTACTGAGCATGGGTGTTAGGGGGACAGCCTCTGAAGCAGAACTTCCTAGTCCTTAAGTGCTGGAGACTGCAAGTAAGAGAGGAACCGTGGAAAAAGTCCTGGTCATACCCAGTTGACTCTCCCTTTTGGCATCCATTCTCTGCCACTCTGAGACACAGGGTACTGGACAAGGTGGACTTATGGACTGACCCAGTAAATGGCAGTTCTTGCGTTCTTATGCTCGTTCCCATTTTGATGATTTTCTTTACATCCATAAAGGCAAGATGTTTGGGGGTTTGTTTGGCTTGGGGTTTTTTTGTTTGTTTGTTCGCTTGCTTTTAATGAAAGCTTGGATTCTGATGTAAAAGTTGGCCAGCTCCAGAAGAAGTTAGCTAGTAGCTAGCCACCACAGCCTGGCCCAGTTCCTAGATTGTGAGGAGCATCATCTCTAGGGACTGAAATTATACCTATCCCCTGTCATCTTTCATGTAGTTTAGACTCCATGGCCCAATCAATGTTTGTCCACTTGGGTGACATTAGTGTGTTTGTCCACAGCAATTCTGGCATCATGGAAACCTGTTAAGCAAGGGCAATGGTGATCTGTTTGTCTAAGAGAACTAAACAGCCCTCCAGCAATGGCTTTCACTTCATTGTAGGCTTTTACTTGCGTTCAGCTTGGGCTAAGTAACTAATCCAGTGGCCCAGAAGACTGGCTGATGGCTTTTGAGCCTCAGCTGGACAGTCATGAATACAGGAGCACCTTTGTTTCCTTTATGGCTATGTAAAATCAGGCCATGGTACGGAAGAGGATGGGAAGGGCTTCTGTAAAGAAACCAGGCCTTACCCCTTCAGCTTCACTGTTTTTGATGTGTTCCCTTTGATTCTGCCCCCTCATCTTCTTGAATAGTCTTTAAGGAACGAGAGATGGGGTGATAGCATCAGGCTGGTCATGCTTGCCAAAGAGGTAACAAATATTGCCAAAAGGTGGGCTAGGCAGACCCACCTTTTGGCAGCAGCAGAAATCTCTCATCTCCAAGCTGTCTGAGTTTCCTCCTCCACACAGTCTGTAGATCACACCTCACAGGAAATTCAGATGTGGTTGGAGGTCGTTGTGAACAGACGACTGAAGGAAGCAGTGAAGACATTGAAAGTACTTCTGGGAACCACATGGTAGGCTGGTGGTCTTGTAGAGACTTGCTTAGGGAAGGAGTGACTAAGGAAATGCACTGACTTGTGGAACTTATCTAATATAGTAGGCACATATCTCACACCCTAATGAATTTCTCTGGTCTAAAGCAGCTAAATCAAAACTTCTGAAATTCATAAAAAGCCCATTAGTGGCTCCTTTTGCACTGAATGCCAATGAAATGCTGGGCAGCATTTTTAGATTATGTGCATGGGTGTGTGAAGTTTAATAATTGAATTAAGTCTCCTGACTGCCCAGTGAGATGAGCACCTTCCATTTCATTTATCCCTGGTCATGCAGATGGGGAAACCGAGGAAAAAACATTCAACAGCCAGCTAGAAGCAGCTACAGTTGCTTAAGGAGCCATCTGCAGAATTGAGATTTAACACCTAGTCCCAGGCTCAGTCCCTCCAGACCATACATGCAGTCTTAAAGTGAGAAACCAAAAGTGTTGGGCAAGACGGGTGTGGGAGAGAGAAACTGACTACACCCAGTGTAGAGGCTCCTGCTTGAGTTTCTGGGCTGAAGCTATTTCCTCTAGGTACAAAGGACCCCGGTTCACCTCTGGCTCTGTGGCTTTTAATAGAGTTCTGCAGTGACTTTAATCAAGTCCTAGTGCTCAGTAAGTGGGAGGTGACTGCAAACTTTGAAGTGTCCTGCTGAGATAAATGCTAGCTACCAAGAAACCACAAATGGTTCTTTGCAGTATGTTAAATTCATGGGGACAAGGGAATGTAGGACTGTAGCTGGGAAATTTGGCTGTTCTTCGCAGTTTTCTCACTGACTTGCTATGTGATTCAGACAGGTGACTTCACTCTTTTGCATCAGGCTTCCCATCTATATTGTGAAGATAGTACTGTTCCCACTGTTAAGTGCTTTGATGTCTTTGGATGTAAAAATGCCAGAAAAATGTTATTATCTCATAGGACATTTAAGACTAATACCATCAACTGTACTTACTTAAGGCCTGGACATAGAACACATTCACATGCTGGGTTTTGGACCAGACAAATAAGCACACAGTAAATGGCTATTACAAAACTCTGTTACTAGGTGGCAGGTGAACAGGTAAATAGCTTGTTGACTTTGAGTGAACTGCTACCCTGGGATAAACTGCAGATGGATAATACCTACCCTGGTAGAGTTTTCCCCCTGGTGCTTTCAAAGCTAATTCTATACCAGATTGGGAAAACTAACCTTGTTGTAGGGGTTTACACAGTCTTGCTACTCCAGTGCTTCCCAAACTATTTTCTCAGCATGGCCCCTTGCTCCCAACTCGCAGCCTCTCACCCCCGCTACCCCATCCACTGATGTTGCATCCCCATTTGGGGTCACAACCCACAATTTGGGAACTGTTGCTCTATTCCTCCTTGGCACCTGTGAAAAGTCTGTTTACACTGGTGCAAGTGTGTTCTCTGTCCGGGCCATATCTACCCACTTGGAGCAAATTTAATCCTTTGTTGAAACCTAGATGGGAGCTTAGCAGCATATGCCTCAAATCATACAGCTGCTTCCTTCTCAAGGAGAAGCTTTATGGATTGGACATAGGGTGCTCTCAAAGAAATAAAGCTGGGGTTAACCAAGCAGCTGTGTCAGCTTTGGTTATCCCACGCCCTCATCTCATTGCCTCCCCTTCCGGAAATGGATTTTTCCTGTGGCTACCCCTTCCACTGCCTACCCTGTGGTACTGGCCCTGTGCCCACAAGGATCAGAAGGTGAGGCTTCATTAAAAATCTTGCTTTTAGTGCTTGCCCCTCTGGCCAGCTAAGACCAACAGGGACTTGCATCCCCAAACTGCTTCCCATAATGTGTTCACTTGCACTGCTGCATGCTTGCTGTGTGGGATAGGAGCCTGGCTGTGCCCAACCTCCGAAAAGGGTAAGATGCATGAGTCACCATGATTGAATCATCTAAGTTCCTTCCAATGAGTTAATTAGACAAATTGTCTGGCATTTACAGCATGACCTCTGGATCTCCACAGCAGGCTGTTCTCACTGTTCTTACAAAGAAGGGAGAGACCAAGCTAAGAAACATCAAGCTCCCAGTTGTTCCCTGCATGGAAACTCAGAGCAAGGGGCACTTTCTGCTTGAATGTGGTTGACTGTTATGACAAATACAAGTTAAGTGATACCATGCAGTGCTTTCTTTAGAGCAGGCACTTCATCCCACCCTCGTTGCACTGAGGATCTTTTGGATTTCAGCCTTCAGCAGAGGGTTTAGAGAGGGGCAGGGAGGCTTGACATGCAGCTCTTCCTCCTCTGTGATTCCAGGTTGATCCCCATTCAGAGGAAAGCAGTTTCTGTCATAAACCTGAGAGACAATCACATGTGTGAGATGTGAGCTTAAGAGTTAATGGCAGAGCCAGATCTTAGCAGGTGCAAATCATCATAGCTCTGTTGGCTTCAGTGATCCTAGTAAGAGCAGCTCCCAGGAGCTTTGCTGCCTGTCTTCATTTCTGGCCTGTGCTCATCACCTTCAATATAGGGTGGGGTGATGCTGCACCCTGCTGTAACAACTGTCCTGATCCCACTGCAGTTATACCTTCCACTCACAGGAGGTCACAGTGTGTGTTCTGCCTCTTTGAAAAGCCTCAACTTATCACAGCTCAGCCATATAGATGGGTGCTGGCCTGCTGACCTATTTGCTGTAATGATTATTACTTGTGTGATGTGCCATCAGTAGACATTACCTTTGTTCAGGCACAAAGTATGCACACCCTGTCCTGAAGAGCTTTCGGGATAATTACCAGAAGAGGGAAGGAGGGAGTGACTGATATAGACTGTGTATTAGGTATAACATAATCATGTGATGCCTCCTTGGGTCTTTAGAAGAGAAAATATCTTTGAGAGAGAAATGCAAAACTCTACAACTCTTGGTTCAGAGATGATACTTTTTTACCTTTTATTAGACCAACTAGGAGAGAGTTATTCATGAGGAGGATTCATGACCTGTGGGATGGCAGGGTTAGATGCTTATTCCAGTCTCTTGTTTCTAGTCTCTTGTTCCCTGGACAAAGGGAGGCTAAAATTTCTGTAATGTGAGACAAGGAGGTTTGCAGGGCTTAAGGCCTGTTTAACACATCTGTTTATGCTACAGGTCTGATATTAGTGCTCACCTTCCAGCTTCTTTCTTTTCCCTTTCCAGCTTCCCATTACTACAAATACAAGCAGCAGTTCATTTTCCCAGGTAAGTCCCTTCAAAGGGATCATAATCATGTGCCATATGGTAGTGAATGCAGTTACTACTTTTTGATTTAGCCTAATGACAGCCACGTGCACCTGTGGTTGATGGGGTAGTATGTGACGTTTGAGGGGAAGGGTTTGTGGAATGCTCTTCCTATAATGCTTTAACTAAATCATTTGCGATGAAATTCCCCCTTGTGCACAGGATGAGCTGAATGCCTGTGTATTGTTTGGGTCCTTCAAGATAGGCCTGTAGGTTGCAAGTGATACTTAGGTTGTGGGCTGGTTTTTAGCTCTCAAGTGAATCTCGTTATATAGCAATTAATTTACCCAGTTGTTTGCAGTGTCCTTCTAGTACTCTGTCTAGTAGTTTTTTCTGAGGTTGTCCTTAAAGACGGGACATTTCTCTGGAGAGGTGAGATTTTCTAGTTGAGGGAGAGGAAGGAAAATGCCTTATAGCTATATTTGAGAGGACTGAGGTGTTTGTAGAGTGGGAGGGTTTTTATCCTTGGCCACATCTAGGATGCATGGAAGGAAGTTTGGGGAACTATGGAGATGAGAAAAAGGGTTGTTTTTTTTAAGGTTAAATCAATTTCTAGGTGCTGCTTGGGAGCTGAGAAATTTAGCATAGAGAGAAGCATAGAGATGACTTTCAAGATGAGTGGCTGTGAGCCATTCTGTAGCCAGAGGAGACGAGCTGAAACTTGCCAAGAGCAAGACATGGCAGCAGAAGCGGGTGTTGTGCTTTGTTTGAACATCCGTGTCTTGTCTGTGGCTGTGATGGTGAAAGGTGAACTTCATATTAAACCAGGGCAGCCTATGCTGGCTAAAGCAGTACCTCATTGCTTGCAATACCTGAACTAAAGGAGCTGGAAGCAGTTTCTCAGGGCCTTGTGTTCATCCGCATGTCTCCCACACAGTCTCAGTGCCAGCTGCCTTGGTCTTTGTGGATCAAGGTTGCTACCAGCTATGGCCCAATGCAGCCCATACTGGGCTTTACTCTGTGCTGCCTCAAGGGGCCAGCTTTGAAACAGGACAGCAAAAGTCACCTGGCCTGATTCTCCACCCCATTATTCGTGTGTGATTCTGCAGACTCAATTGGGGCTGCTTCTCAGGGAGTGTAAGGAGCGTGTTGTCCAGGGACTTGGGTTAGAGTAGGACAAACTTCAGGAAAACAGTGGGCCTTTTGTTGTGAGTAGACTGAGCTTGTGGTAGCTCTCTGCCTGCAATGTGTCTTCCTCCCAGTTTTCATACTGAACTCTCTCGTTTTCAGACGTTGTGCCTGAGACACCAACCCGTGCACCCCAAGTGGTTCTTCATCCAGTGAATTCTAATCCAATGTAAGTGCGTCTCTTTTCTTTTCACTTTGCCAGTCCCTTTGTGTTTGCTACTTCCTCCTCCCCCACCTTGTCAGGAGTGTCTGCAAGGAAACCTCAGGAACCTTCCTTACTTGTGTGACTGTTAGCTGCCAATGCACCTTGTGCAAGCATTATTTGTAGAAATGGCAGTCCTGTGTATTTTGGTAAATGGCCTCTCTTGCATCCTTCAGAGCCCTTTTAGGACCTGAACTCCAGGTGGTATTAGTTGTCTGTTCATCATCAGCAGTAATGTAATGAGTGGTGGGCGATTGGGGAACAGACCCAGGCACCCACTTTGAGGGTCTGGAAGAATGGCAGCCACTACTGCTGCCAACCCAGTTGCCACATGGGCTGCAGCCAACTTAACCACTGCCACTGAGAGAACAGACTGTGGGTGCTATTCCTCTGATCAGTAGCCATGCAGGTGAAGGGAGGATCTGGCTTCTGTCTGGCACATGCCAGTAACATGGCCACCATGGATTGGGTACAGTAAGGAAGGAGTCACTTATATGTGGGCTCATAGGTATTACAGTAATACAAATCAGAGGTGCCCAAACAAAAACAACAACAACGACAAAACAAGGAGGAGTGTTTCCCTTACCTCATTTTGGAAATGGCTTCACTGTTTTAACTGAAAGTTTCCAAAAAAACATTCAGTTGGAGGCAAACAGCCAGCAGAGGCAAGTTCACCCTGAACGGTTAAGTATTTTCAAAGTTATAGGCAACTGAATATATCATCTTATGGTAGAAAGAGTCAGGTAACCTTAACTACAGGCAGCACTAATAGATGTTTATTTTAAGTTCCATAAAGTTTGCAGTAAGTTTCTAAATTACTCCTGAAACTTGGTTTATAATTGGCAGCTAGGAAAAGCTCTCCCCAGTAGCTTCAGTTTTTCCTTTTACTTGTGGCTGCTCTCCTTGTTCAGTTCCGTGTTCACTAAGATCTTCCCGGTGAATGCTCTGATCTGTGATACATTAGCAGCACCCAGCAGCGATGTTACATTTCAGGAGCTGTTGCAGATCCTTTTTATAAACTCCACTTTTCAGGGATTATATAACCCAGAAATTTGGCAGATAAGATCTCAGTCCAGACAGAAATGTAGTTTCTATCAGGATCTCCCACACTTTTCTAAATACATTGGCAACCTGTCAGGGGGTCTAAAGGACCTCATCTAAAGCCAAGTGAGTCAGTTGGAATGACAGAAACAGAGCAGCCATTCTCATGGGTTACTGGCACCATAATAAATATTGTCATGTTGGGTATATCAGGGCCTGTTTCTGAGCCAAATGTGACATTAATATATCCCTTGCAGCCCAGGCCATTTTAGCAGAAATGGGGTTCTTACAGCCATAATCTCTTGCGTGGTTAGACCTGCCTGGAGATTGTGTACAGCTTGCATTCCCAAATTTTAACAGCTTTCCTGTTAGAGGAATATTGAGGTAAGGTATGTTTGGGTCTGCTGTATATGTATGAAGCGTTGAGTCAGACTGTAGTTTCACTTATTCCAGCAAAAAAGCTAAATAACTGTATTGATTTCACTGAAGTTGCTCTTAATTTATCACTAGTATAATTGAAAAGCACTGACTTGAATTTAGAAGCAGAATTGAATTCATACACTTGACAGATAAGTATTAATAATATTATGAGAGGCAAGATTAAGGAAACTGCTTATACTGTACCTGGTATAATGGATAGAAGTAATGTGGTTGTTCTTAGTCAAGAATTAGCTAAAGGCTTCATCAGATGAGATTTTTTTTGTGCCAGTTAAACTATCAGAACCTGATCTTCTCATTTTAAACTGGAATAAAAAAGCAACAGATAAAAGATGCCTGAATCCCTGAACCAGTGTGATGTTGCCCAGCCACCTGGAGAATTACATCTGTAAGAATCAAAGGCAAAGCTGTGCTGGTGTAAAGTACAGTAATATCTGTTTACTGTGTCAGCTACCACAGGATAGCTTCACATCTGTCTGTTTTGATCCTGATGTAATTTATGTAGGTATGATAAACCACTGTAGATTATACCAGAGTTTGTCCAGGGGCACACTCAAGTGCAGTGACTCCAGCTTTATACCATCTACATGACAAGAGGGCCAATTCTTGTCGTTCAGTTTTTCCTCATAACACCTCCCTGCATTAGACCTGCGTTGCAACATATTCTCAACATCTGGTGCAGGATTTCTTAGGCCCATTTATACTGCCCTACTAATGCAAAGCAATTCAGCAGGTAAATATGAATCAGGCTTCCGAAATATAAAACACCTGCAGTGGAAGAGAGAGGATTTTCTAAAGAACAGAGTGCACAGGGAGATGACAACGTAGTCTCATCTCTGAATGTAAACTGATACAGCAATCTGTGCTAGAGGACTTGGGGTTATTAACTGACAATCCATAATGTACAAGGTAAAAATTGAATCAGAAACGGCACATAATTCACTAAGCTTAAGCTGAGCAGTGCACAACAATGGTTTGCATAAGGAAGTCATTTAATGCTTTATAGCATTCTAATAGCAACTAAATTGAATGAGCAGGACTGGGTCACAGCATTTGGATGCGTCTGGGGCTGTGCTAAAGCAATGCTTCCTCTCCTAGCCTCAAAGCACTCTCCATTATTTCTACTTTCAGCTCTGTAGTTCTTTTATACTACTAACTATTCAGGCTGTTATTGGACGTATTCCACTATGAATTGCTTTACTGTTAACAGTAAAGGATCCCATTGTTTTGGTTGCTGTAGAAATGTGGTCCCTGCCCTTAAGTGCTTGTGATCCTAAAAAATGTCTCTGCTGAGCCAAATCTTGAAAATGTACATTGGAATTCGCTCAATCCTTATTCAGGCAAGCTCCTCCTAGAATCAGTGGGAATTGACTTGTGTAAGGTTAGGGTTAATGTGACCAAGAAGTGCAGTTTGGCTTAAGGCTTATACTAATGTAACTGTAATAATGATAATGTAATACCTGGGACCCCTCTGCCTGGCAGCTCTGCCTAGCTACTGCTGTGAATTTTTCATTGATCCATGAGTCATCTGAGTCCTATGCCAAAGTCCAGGCCCAGGTCCTAGGGAAGAAGCATCATTAAAGATATCCAAATTGGGCTCTACAATAGGCACCATAGATACAAAAAAAGTATTTCCAACAGTATAAGGACATACCTGTGTCTTTGTTCTGTTTACTTACTACAATGAACAGCTTATGTTCCAGCTATACAGGAATCCTTTAAAATCTTCCCATTGTGGGGACACAGGCATTCTAAAATTGACTATCAAAAAATACTTTTTCCCCATGTCAGATAGATGGGTTCACCTGCAATTTCATCTCAGCTCTTCCTAGCTCTTCTGTGAAGGGGCAGCTTTAGTTATATAAGCTTTAGCTATATAATCTGGTATGGTTGAAATTCTGAGTTTGGACTGGAACTTTCCTAAAAGGTAGGAGCTATCTAGAGGTGGGAGATATGAGGTTCATTGAAGCCTATCTGTGAAATCGCTGTCACCAAATGAAGTTGAGACTGATGTTTCTGGCTGCTATTTTCTTTTGCTTTAGTAGAGGCTGATCATGAGGGAAGCAGGACGTGACACCCATGTCACAGTGCAGCCGTTCTGTACGTCGTATGTTCTGTATGTCACTTTGTTTTCACACTGTGGTAATTTTTTGTAACAGCCTTGAAGGAAATCCATTACTTCAAATTGAAGTGGAGCCAACATCAGAGGTAAGAAACTCACCATAACAATGTAGGTTTTTTATTTCCTTCATAGACTAAAAGAAAAACTTGAAGAGTTGAAGTTCGTTAAACAGGACCCTGCCATGGCCTAGTGCTTTGGCATTTTGTCACCTTTGTGATCCATATTTCTTATGAAAGACAATTATATAGAACTAGCTGGTTTCAATATTGTGCTTAATGGACCATTATATTATATACATATCAGCATGCAGTTCACAGAAGTAGGCATAAAATGTGCATCTTCACTGTGATATTTAATTGAATTAATGAATGGTCCTGATCCTGCTTCCAGTTAGGTTGGTTTTAATGGGGTTACCCCTCTTCCTTGCCAGAGGGGAGTCAGGTTTGGAAGGTCAGTCACTGCTGTCTCAAGCTCCAGGTGGTACATCTACAGTGTAGTCACCCTGTGACTGTAGTTCATAGTGATGTATCTCATTTTGAAGAGCTTGGGGAACAGGACCATAGCAGTGTAGCTACAGAAGGACAAAAGATCAGCATGGGATGCTAACAGTACCTGAGAAGTTGGGTAAATATTTGGATGGTTAGCCCAGGCTGAGCTCCGTGTTCCATGTTGCTGTGCCTGTGCTGCTATAGTCTCCAAATCACCTAATTTAAAGCAATCTTGGGGCATGTCTTCATAAGATGCAGTCACAGCAGTGACTGAGTTAGACACAGACAGTTCTGGAAGCTTTTGATAGCATGTTAGTGGAAAGGCGGATGTCATGTCTGCGTAAAGGTGGAAGGCCAGGCAGCAAATGTGTTACAGCAGGGGAGTCAAACTCACCCCATACTTTGGGGTATATCCAGACTGTGGGGCTCCTCACAGGCTGGATCCATGGTGGCAGCCACAACAGTGTCAAAGGTCATAACCACAGCACCTGCAGTAACTGTGGCAGAAGCAGTGGGGCAAATGGCTGCAAGCCAAGTAGCTGCAGGGCAAGTAGGGCTATGTCAGCTCAGCCCTTGCTCACCCCCTTGCAGTTGACTGGCCAGGCCCCAGGGGCACCAGATTCATAGTTTCATAGATTTAGGGTCAGAAGGGACCTAGTAGATCTTCTAGCCCGACCCCCTGCCAGGGCGGGAGAACAACAAAACCCCAAAACAAAAACGGGACTCAAATGAGTCCAGCCAGGTAGGCATCCAGCCTCTTCTGTGAAGTTCATGCCTACTGTTAGCCACATCCAAAATTCCTGGCCCACCAGTAGTCCAGCACCTTGGGTGGGGTGGCTATATTTGTGACACCCCCTTGTTGCAGTAATGGAACAGAAAATAGTCTTCTGTCCACCACTACAGTCTAGTATAGTCTTATGTACACCACTACAGAAAGGATATAGATAAATTGGAGAAAGTCCAGTGGAGGGCAGTGAAAATTGTTAGAGGGCTGGGGCACATGACATATGGGGAGAGGCTGAGGGAACTGGGCTTGCTTAGTCTGGAGAAGAGAAGACAGAGGGGATTTAATAGCAGTTTTCAACTACGTGCAGGGTGGTTCCAAAGAGGATGGAGCTAAACTGTTCTCAGTGGTGAGAGATGACAGAACAAGGAGCAATGGTCTCAAGTTGCAGCAAGGGAAGTTTAGGTTAGATATTAGGAAAAACTTTCTCATTGGGAGGGTAGTAAAACACTGGAACAGGTTACACAGCGAGGGGTTGTGGACTCTCCATCCTTGGAGGTTTTTAAGACAAAGCCCTGGGTGGGATGATCTAGTTGGGGATGATCCTGCTGTGAGCAGGTGAATTGGACTAGATGACCTTCTGAGTTCCTTTCCAACCCTAATTTTCTATGATTCTTTAGTAAAATAACATAGGTACAGCCTGAAATATATTTCTGTAATTTCCCTAATCGTTTGTACATTCCTGAGTCTGCCTATTTCAGCTTTATACTGCTGTAGCCATTGCTGTAGTTTCTGAGCATCTTCCACTTGGAAGCAGTTGTGATAGCAGTTGTGGACTTCATGTTTGGCTTTAGGTCTATCAGTCCCCTGCATGTATCCAGGATAGTAATGTGTTTGTTTGCCAGAGCTCATTGAATATGATGAAAAATTATTCATTGAGTAAATTGTCAATGAACAAGGACGAGGTTCACAGTATAACGTGTGAATAATCAGCTCAAATATCTGTCTGCCCTAATAAATATGTGTCTCTATTTGATCTTTTAGCTGTTCATTCATCCTGGGGATTTTTGTGTGTGGGCCAGTTTCTGTTTTTGTTTATACTGGTGCAAATCCAGTCGATAATGTATGTATATTTCCATATACTCTATGTGAAAGTAATCATGTGTATATGGGGAAGGGGACATGGTCACTCAAGGTTATCTGGAAGTTAGTAAAACAATGCATGTTCCATGAAGAACTAATTCAGCATATTTCTGAATGAGTTTGTCTGCTGAACTCTGGGGACTGCTGTAATAGTTGAGAATCTCAGTGAAGAGTGGCTAAATTTTTTTATGACATCAGAAAAAAAATATTTAACTAAAATATACTGTTGTTTTTCAACCTTTTGCCTTTAGCATCTGTTTTGCAAGTTTCCATGGTATCTTGGTGCAAATATAATTTATTACAGTTCCTCTGTTCCTGAGCCTCATAGTTCAGTTTACCTGAATCCACACAATTACAAACTAACTTCCAATTACTGTCCATGTGCTCACGTTTAGGGTTCTTTCAGTGCCCCAGTAGAGAGTGGAGCTTTGGCAGACTTTAATTCATGCCAATTTTCTGGCCTCAGTCTGTGATCCATTTTAATCCTAATCCCCAACTTCCTTGCTCCAAGCATCTTCCAAGAAGTGATGCTACAGCACTAGCTAATCCCCCTCTCAGCAGAGCCTCATTTCTAGTTCTCCTGCCATCTGGTTAATAGAGCAACACTGGCAGTTTGGTCTTTTCCAAATCTGACATCTGATCTCTTCCAAATCAGCCATCTGCCATCTAACTAAAGGAGGGAGGAATGGGGGGGTGTAGGACAGGGGGAGAGACAGGGGTGTGGTTTTGACCATGCCTGGGTCTCGGAAACGCTGTCACTGGCAAAGAGAAGGTCTGTGAGAAGTGGGCAGGCAGCTTTGTGCATAACCATTGTGTTGGTGGGAAAAGCTCCACCTGGTTTTATAGTGTGTTCCATGCATCAGCAGTGGAAGCAAATGTTCCTTTTCTACCCCAGTGCCTTGCACGTGCCAAGGAATGCAAGCAAGATGCATTTGTCTCCCTGCAGAATGAGGATGGGAATGAGGAGGCCCAGGAGTCTGAGGATGACTTTGAGGAAATGAACCTGTCTCTCCTCTCTGCTCGCAACTTCCCACGCAAGGCCAGCCAGACCAGCATCTTTCTCCAGGAGTGGGACATCCCCTTCGAGCAGCTGGAGATTGGAGAACTGATTGGCAAAGGGCGCTTTGGCCAGGTGTTCCATGGACGTTGGCATGGTGAGGTGGCCATCCGCCTCATCGACATTGAGAGGGACAACGAAGACCAGCTGAAGGCCTTCAAGCGGGAAGTGATGGCCTACCGACAGACGCGGCATGAGAATGTGGTGCTCTTCATGGGGGCCTGCATGAGCCCTCCTCACCTTGCCATCATCACCAGGTAAGCCAGGAGCTTTTTGCCATGCAGAGGAACTGCTGCTAATTAGGGTAGTGCAACTTACAGACTACTCAGAGTTACCTCGGAGGCTGGGGCACATGACTTCCGAAGAGCTGCTGAGGGAGCTGGGTATTTAGTCTAGAAAAGAGAAGACTGGGGACAGGATTTAATAGCAGCCTTCAATTACCTGTAGGGCGGTTCCAAAGAGGATGGAGCTGGACTGTTCTCAGTGGTGGCAGATGACAGAACAAGGAGCAGTGGGCTCAAGTTGCAGCACAGGAAGTTTTGATTAGATATTAGGAAAAAACCTTCCTATTAGGAGGAGGGTAGTAAAACACTAGAACAGGTTACCCAGAGAGGATGTAGACTCTCCATCCTTGGAGATTTTAAGATCCCGCTACACAAAGCCTTGGGTGGGGTGATCTAGTTGGGGAAGGTTCTGCTTTGTGCAGGGGAACTGGACTAGATGACCTCCTGAGGTCCCTGCCAACCCTAATTTTCTATGATTCTGTGATACATTGTAGCATATGCTGGTTAAGAATATGCTTTGGCATACTAGATAGAAGCCAGTGCACTTGGAAACTATGTGCAACTGGCTGACAGTTGGGGTGCCCAAAACCAGAGCTTTTTTAGCACCAGCTGAGACACTTTTCTGACTTGGGACTCAGTTACAGTGTTAGGGACTGATCCTAACAACACTGAAATCAATGGCTAAATTCCCATTGATCACCCCAGAAGGATCTAGCCCTCAGTAAATTATGCCTCTCTCTATATATATTTCTCTAGGGGCACACCTCAATGGTATGCATTTGAGTAGGGAGGTAGAGAGAAGCAACAACCTCACAGGATGGAGGGTGGAAGAAGGGCCAGGCTGCATTTTTTTGGTGCTCCCTGCAGGAAATAGTTTTGGGGCCCGCTGCCCTGAAGAAGCTGGTTTCAGGGGCGGGGAGAGGAGGGGATGGCGAGTCTAACTGCAAATCTTACTCTTGAAGGCCATTCTTGCTAACTTGAATACTTCCATTTTCTTACCA